GAGAACGAACTCCTAGGTCCGGACGATTTTGATGACAAGGCTACAAGTGTGTCAGGCTTTGCCACAGACGACTGCATCAGCTCGCCCCCAAGCCAACCAGAGTCCCTGCGGTCATCATCAGCCGGGGTGTCGTCCACCACATCCGCATCTACATGCAGTATATCCACAAATTGTACTGCATCTATACGTATAACCGCTGCCACAACACCTTGCATGTCACCTAACATTCAGTTTTGGGCGGACTTGGACTTGCAGGATATGCAAAACATGCAAGACACGCTATTCGAGGGATGTCAGCACCCCAAACCAGAGGGGTTTTGTCAAGTTTCGCCAAGGCTGATAAGTACGCCGCTGACGCACCAACCCCTGCCCATTTCAGAAAGCAAGAAAAAGGCGGCGATATCGCTGTTGGATAAATACCTCTGAGTTGAGCGGGCTCATGAGTGTGGGACGTATTATATGTATTATAATGTATTATAGACTATGCAGGTTTATGTATGACTACTCCTTGCATGTTTCTAAGGTTTCAATGAGTCTGTCGACCTCAACATATAAATCAGCCTTGCCTTCGGCTAGTCCGCTTTGACGTGGCGAGCTTGGCACCGTGTGACTGCTGTTGCCAAATATATCGAGTAAGCCTTGGTCCCGAACCAACTTCTCAATTCGATATGGGCAGTTACTGATGTGTTGTTTCTTCCCATCAAAGCCGTCCATTTGTACGGAAATGGCGGTTTGTAGTGAGAGTGCTGATATAGTAACTTGTCGGCGGAAAGGCTGCATGTTGCGGCACTCTGTCACCTGCTTCGCGGTACAAAGGAGGCCTTTTGCTGGTGTTGTCTCGTCGCCTTGGTAGTATATGTAGACCTGCGTACGATGAAGCTTGAAGATCAAATCAAGTAGGGCATTACTGGCTGAGACGCGACAGCTGATAATAATGGTGCAGACCTCCGGTGACGAATAGAATGCCGGCACTGAGTCCAGCTCTATGTAGAAGAGTGAGGATATCAGCTTGCTGCATATCGACTTGAATAGCTGGCGATTATATGGCCCCCCTCCGTAAGACAGGGCTACATCATGGGTACTACTGATGTTAGATAACGTTGAATTCTCTTCTTCTCAAGTCGTATCATACCGCTTAGGTGCAGTGGAGCTATTGAAGTTTCTGCACGTGGTCTTGCCGTCGCTTACCGTCATCATCGCGTTGTTACATGTCTTCACTTTTGCTAAATCCCAACATAAGTTCTTCCCAAATATAATCCGATTGCCTCTGATTCGACATCGCAGCAGATTTGGCAGCTGGTGTCTGCACTCAGCAAGTGTCCAGGACTCTGTGAAGAGTGTAAGCGCGAAGAAGATTCCTTGGCATTGCTCAGTGTCTTGTAAAGTGAGTATTCTATGATCAAGCTACGTACCAGCGCCACGGGCGACGACGACGTCAAAATACTCACGCAATGGCATGGCTGTAAGACCAATTTGCTTCTGCAAGTCTTTGAGAAA